AAGAAGCTTAGTGCCTTCCCAGAGGATCAAATGGAATTGAGATTGATACCCCAAGGGCCATAAACTAGCACCAAACACTTACGTTTAGGCATCTGCATGCCACCCTAATTTCCATTGACGGTAATTGTTACTTAGGTACTTAGTACACGTGTAGATACCTATTTATATACACCTAAATGCAGTTGTTTTCATCTGGAGCCGAATCCTGCTCCTCAATCTCTGCTGAGTAGACCCAACTAAGAGGTGAAAAGCCATTTCTATTCTAAATGCAGGGGGTTTTTTCCTCTAACAGCATACAGACTATTAATGTTGTTATACATTGGAGTTCTTATCAGGACCAGATTGAACTAGACACTTTAACAGAAATAAGCAAATCTGACCTCAACTTTTCAAAATGCCAGGAAATAAAAGGTTCAGAATTAAAAGTGGTCACAACAAAATGAGTTCAAATGTTGACATAAACTAATTTACAAAAGTACATTCAGGTTTTAGATGACAGAATGGCTAGCCATTATAGGTGATATAGGCTGTCCAGTGAAGACAACTGAAGACAATTAAAGCACACTGGAATTTGTACAGAAAGAGTAGTTAGAGGTTTTATAAGAAGACTCCATATGGCACTCCAAAAATTCAAGCAGCTCTTACTGCTAAATTGAGTCAGAACAAAATAATAGCAAACTCAAACCAGAGTGTGCTTTGATGTTTTGTTCAGAGAAACAAATTCAAGAATGATCCATCTGCTATTTCACAAGGTAGTGCAGCTATTAAATTGGTTCAGTTTGTAACCTGCATGAAAAAAGAAGAAAAACCCCCTTCATATATAAAGAAAGGAAAAATTACCTATATCTGGGCTGTCATTGTAGCACTCCACATTTTCCTAGGATTCAGTCTTATGCATGGAATAAAATGGTAATGCTCTTTTTTAAAACTCTACTGAAATAACAAATAATATAATATTTGTTATATATATAATATATATAACAACTACTATAATAACAAAGGTGTCATTATAAGCAAAGACAGATTTCAGACTGATCCTGACCTTAAAATGTAAAATACCTCAGCTTGTCAAAATAAGATTGCACCTTTGAAAGATATGAGACTTGTATAAATGGACAAACATCTCGAAAGAAGACTTTCAATACTAGGATTAATTTATTAACTATGAGCAATACTCGATTAACTGCAGAGATATATTTATCCTGAATTCCTTTCTCCAAAAAGAAACATACTCACTCTGACCCTATTCAAAACATCTCACCAAATCGCATGAATCAAACCAATGTGTCTGTTCAAGGGCTGTTCATAATCCTTAAAATAAAGGTCTGGGCAGTTAACTTCCACATTGTGCTCCCTGCCAGATAAGCTTGTACTATCCACATCAATGGACTAGTACCTATCACCATCAGATAGCTCTGTTCCTAGGCACAACCCATTTCTTATTGCATGAGACCTCCAGTGAGTACAAGAACCAAAACTAACCTGGTGTGTGTCATCAACAATGCACAGGGGGAAAAAAAAGAGCCTAATTGAGCTACAATATGGTGAGGTATAATGAAAAAAATATATAATGCAGATGAAAGATGTGGGCTCGAGGAAACCAAAGAAATATTGAAAGAATTTTTTCATTCTGGAATAATGATAGCTTGGCTTCGTGACCTGCTTTCTAAAGGGCAGAGTTGTTCTCATGAAACTGTAAGTACTAAGGAAGATAAAATCTCTTCCCTGGATCAGTGGATTTGAAAATTCACCAACAGGGATTTTACAGCAACAGATCGTGCATCTGTCTCTGAGTTTCTTTGTTATTTTCCTGCCCTCATGATGGTTTTGCAGCTATGTACTTTAAAAGATAATTTGGAATAACTTTACAACTACAAGATTGTCTCCACTTCCCATGGAAAACTTCATATTTTGAGTGTGAGGATAATTTCACAGTAACTCATGGAATCATGGAATGGCTTGGGTTGGAAGGACCTTAAAGATCACCTAGTTCCAACTCCCCTGCCCTGGGCAGCAATACTTTCCACTAGACCAGGTTGCTCAGAGCCTCATCCAACCTGGCACACACACTTCCAGGGATAGGGCAGCCATAGCTTCTCTGGGCAACTTGTTCCAGTGCCTCACATCCTCATAGTAAAGAATTTCTCTCCAATATCTAATCTAAACCTACTCTCAGTTCAAAGCCATCACCCCTTGTCCTATCACTACATGCCCCTGTAAAAAGTCTCTCTCTGGCTCTCTTGTAGGCCCCCCGTAGATACTGGAAAGCTGCTATAACTCACATTTCTTCAAATTAAAATTCCTCAGGGTCACACAATAAAATGATCCCTCTAACTTAACTAGCCAGTTATTTTGAAATTGAAAGAACAAAGTTCACCTGGGGATAAATTAACCATTAATGGCCATGTGGATGCACCTATATAATCAAACTTCTCTGTTTTCCCATGTTGCTTCGCATCTGAACCACGTGTGCTGTGCTGTCCTGAACACAAATTGCCTGGATGTTACCTCTTTGTGGAAAGGCTGGCAGGCAGCCACGGGGCCCCATGTGTGACAGTCCACTCCTGAACACCTCGCATTCCAGCAACACTACAGCGGTTGTGCCCTGTGCATCTGTATGGAGCCATGCAGAGGTCACGGACTTTGCAGTCTGGGAAGAGACCACTTAGTCCTGCCTCAACACAGCCATGATGATGTAAAGATACACAGGTGTATATCAAAGCAATGCTGAGAGGGGTCACTCTGGGAACACTGCTCAAAGCTGCAGCAAACAAAGGGGCTCTGACACAATGATTTAAAAACAAACCTCTGGAAAGAAGCAGAATCCTGGCAATGCTCCAAGTACCTTTCCCAAGTACCTCTGAGCATGGACTTTTTCCATCCAAGCCACTGATTATGTGTAATGCAGACAAAAGGCACAGAGGAGTTCATGGTCCTTAACCAGGTCTCTAGTGAGAGCGAGCTCCCCATACTTGAGCCCAAACCAGAACCTGGGAAAACAGAAAGCTCTTTCACCCCTGAACACATGCACTCAGAGCGGAAGTGTCTAGCCAGTCCTAAGCCAGTCACTGCGGGACTGCGGCGGTTTCAAATAAAAATAGTGTGATGGAGGTATGTTTATGAAAACATCAAATACAGAAAAGAAAGGCAATGTAAAACATACTTTGCTTTTTATAAGGCATATTTAGCAATTCACAAACTATACCTTCCCAAGTGAGGAATGGAAAATTGCAGACATCGAAAGCACTCCATCAGGCTCAGTGTTATTAAACCTTCATTCAGTACAGTCACTCCAAAGAACTGCTCACAGCACAGTGCATTCTGTATGCGTGTGCAAGTAACAAAAAAAGATCTCAAGACAAGAATGATGCTCTCTTTGGGCATGAAAACCACAGGCTTTATCAGTATCGCGGATGTAAATAATTTTCCATTCCCATCTGCAGCAACTTTGGCAGACTGTGCTTCTCAGTGGTGTTGCTGAGTTATTTTGCTGGTTTGTCTCCTGCCTTTCTGAATAAGCTCATTACTGATTCTTGGTGCCTTATATCAGACTAACATCTTCTACACAGGAGATTGTTGTGTGAAAGTGCAAAGGCTCACATGCCTGTTTCCTGCCATCTCCTATCTCCCAGCCTGTGCCTAAACCCCGGCTAACTATTCCACAGCTTTACCCTGATAACTCTTAAAAGTTCACAAGTTTCTTCCCTACTGCAGTTTAAGCCATACTTTCTCCACAGCTAGAGAACTGCAATAGCCTTTTATAAAGTATTCGAAGACTACTATTATGTTTGTCCTTCAATCATCTCTAGTCTTAAACTATTTGCAGGAGTCAACTCTGCAGCAATGCTCTGAAATTTTTGGTTTCTCACACAGAAGCGAGGCCCTCTCTAAGAGGCATTTTAAAGAAAACTGCACTGCATGTATTAGGAGAAGGCAATACCAGATGCTTGGCCAGAACTCTGAATGCTTCTTCTGGGAGAACATCAGTGTCGTTCTTCTGCAGAGGCATGCAAAACAAAGCAGACAGCAAAATTATTTCAAAACAGTTACTATTCAGCAATGCAAAGAATGCATCAGTCTCTAAATTCAGGATTAAAGTTGAAAGATCCTTCTCTGCAGCAACTAAAAATGCAAAATTATGTTAGGAAAACCATAAATACTTCCCCAAATATAAAGTCATGTTCATATTTCTTGTCTCTGCAAATGAGATGTAGTATCTTAAGTCAACTCAGTAGAAAAACTGCTCAAAAATTATTTCACCATATACAATCATATAATTTATTTCCTTCTCCCTTGAGAAGCTGAGTACAGTTGAGGCCTCTATTTTGCAATTTTTAAAAGCACTTCCCGTCTAATCTCATAAATACATTTCTGATATCGCTTCAGTGTCTTGGCACACTTTAGATAATATTCACAAGTTAAAAACATAACATACTGCGCTTCCCACCCCACATCCCAAAACCCCAGCTTTTGTGGATTCCTCAGCGTGAGCTACCACCTTTGCCAGCTCTTGGGGGGCAATTCCACAAATACAAGGTCCGCTTGTACAAAGTGCTGCGTGACGCCTGAGAAACGTGCACCTTTGGGTTCTGTTGAATTACACCGAGTCTGAAGGACGGGACACAGAACTCGAAGAGAGCCGCGATAAAAGCCTGCTTCGCATTAAAGTTTTATGGAAGTGACTCTCCTCTCTAGTGGGGTACACACTGACAGGGAGCATCGCCGTCCGAAGCACCTTTTCATCAGGCACTGCTGATCGCGGGTACTTGTTTGTAGCTGTGGGCAACCCCAGCTCGCTGGAGCACTCTTTCCGCATGGCAGAGAGATGCGAATCAAAGGTGAAAACCAGCCAAAGGGCGGGTTTGTTTCAGTCCCTGGAACTTCCTTTCCAGACCTAAAACAGCTGCAGGACGCGGGGGCCGAGACGAAGGCTGGCAGCGCCGATCGACGCGCTCGGCCCTCGGCGGGGCGCCCTGCTCGGCGGTGCGGCGCGCGGCCGCGCCTCCCGGAAGCGGCGCGGGCGGCGATGGCGGCGGAGCAGCGGTATCCGCGGGGCTCCATCGAGGATGACTTCAACTACGGCAACAGCGTGGCCGCGGCCAGCCTCCACATCCGCATGGGTACGAGCTGCGCATGACCCCCGCCACAGCCCCCGCTGCCCCCCCGGCTGGGCAGTCGGGGGGTGCCGCGCTCCTAGCAAGTGGCTCTGGGTTACCCCATCGCCTTTGGCCTTGGGCTGAAGGGAGGTTCTGCGCGGTGTTTTAACCTGGGTACAGGTTGTGAGTGCGGAGCCAGGGCGTTACTTAGTCCAGGTTAAACATCAAGGGTGAGAGACTGCGGCGGCGAAAGGTTTTGTCATCTAAGCGTGAAGGGAGTAGGTCTTCTCATGAGAAGGGGTTAATCCGCTGTAGATTCAGACTTGACTTTGCCCAGAGTGACGGATTTTGAAGCCCAGACATAATACGTGAGGTGCATAGACCCTGGAAAGCTGCACGTCCCTGGAGGTGTTTAGGGAAAGACTGGACGTGGCACTTGGTGCCATGGTCTGTTGGACATGGTGGCGTTCGGTCATAGGTTGAACTCGATGATCTCAGAGGTCTTTTCCAACCTTATTGATTCTGTGACTCATACAGAATCAGTATCAGTGCTAGAATCAGTGTCTGTAGTTATGGAAGTTTAACCATGAGACTGAAGGACTTGGATTTCTTCTATGAGGTGATAAAATATTGTCTCTTCTGCTGAAGCACTTGGCATACCTTGAGTCATATGACTCAAGCCCATGAAATACTGCTTTACTCTTCATGTGCAGGTCTCAAATGCATTGAATAATCTCGTAGAATGTGTCTAATCATTACTCTTTTCTGAAATACTTACAGTGTTAGTGAATGCATTTTGGAATAAAAACAGCTGCATGTTGTGAAATTTTTTATCAGATATTTCTGATAATCAGGAAGCCTTTTCCTATAAAAATACAATTTTTCCTTGTTTGAAAAATTAAGGGGGCAATAGGAGATATGAAAAAGATAATGCCATTAGCAAAATTGCTGATGCATCTAGTAATGTGGGGAGAAAGCTGTGCTAGCTAGGAGGCTACCTAGGTTTGTTCAGTTTATCACAATCAAGTAGGCCCCAGTCTGTCACGGCTTACAAGTGTATTTAACTTCCTGCTGCAAGCAGGTAGTTCAGCTCCTCGTAGTATGCACTCTTAAACTTGTTTAGGCTGTGCTATCAATGACTGAATCATTTCCCCCTGTAAGCTTATTCTTCCTTTCACAGCATTTTGCCCAATGGGTTTGATCTCCTCGCATTCCCAACGAGAATCTCTGTATGATATATCTGTATGTCCTGAACTACTCTCCGCTTTCCATAACTCTAGAATTAAGAAGCCTGTTAGCTTAGTTCTGGGATTTTTTTTTTTTCCTGCAATCTGTGTCTGTAGATACTTATTCAGTACAGTGCAAGTCACAAATGATGATAAACAATATTTACCATGGCAGAAGGGCAATCAAATAGATATTACTATAAAAAGTTTTCCTTTTTAAACTTTATGGCAGTTTCTGCCCTCCACAGAACTTCCAAGTTAATCTTCCAGCATTTAGGTCCATTATATACCAGTAACATGATGGAGAAGGTATGTTGTTAGTATAGTGAGACATAGGTGTACATAGGTTTTTAAATATATCCAAAGTAAATTCCTTGCAAATTTTTTTATATTTCTTTTTATTATCTTGTTATTGGTTAATTAATGTTGTGATAATAAAAATGTAATAAACGTAATGTAAAAATTGTGTCAGTTTTTTTTAAGGAAAAATGGCTTTTTACAACACTGTTCTGTGCTTTTTCACTATGACTTTCTAATGGTTCCTTATGAAAATGAAAACTTGTATCTGATTTACTGTTGAACTTTCTAAGTGTAACTCAAAAGTGATTTCATTTTTATTTTCCTTATTCTAGCTTTTCTACGGAAAGTCTACAGCATTCTTTCCATTCAAGTTCTATTGACCACAGTCACATCTGCAATTTTTCTGTATTCTGCAGGAGTGCAGGCATTTGTTCATGAAAGGTAAATACTCAAATGAAATGGAGATGTTTAGCATGTGTTAAGTATAGTTTATGTAGTTTGTTGCTCTGGAACACTTCAGTCTTCCTTGTTTTGATTCTGTAATAGAAATGTTGTAACTTGATTAGGAAATAATCTTTCTTCTCTGACATTTTTTGTCTTTGGTTTATTATGGAAATTTTATTATAGTGAAAGTTTATTTTAATCAATGCTTTATTAATAGTGCTTATTTTAGTATTTAAGCTATGCAAATGCAGAACATCCCAGTTACTGACATTTCTTGGTTTATGGTCTAAGTACTTTCAGAATCTCTTTGGAATGCTGTTGCTTATAGGTACCTGTCCCAAAAAGCAGAATCATATCTTGTTCCTCTTCCTCCCTCCCCCCATCTTTTGTTTTTTTTCAGGGGTGGTGTTGGTTGGTTGTTTCCCTGAAAACTAGTCTGCTAAAATTCCCGAGGGCTTGCTTCTTTTTGCATCTCCAATTTTCATGATAAAAAACCAAATCTCAATATCCAAACTGTGGTGAACAGGCCAGGGAAAGGAACAGCTGGGAAAGGAGTCCAGTTTCTGTTTTTCACCAAGTGCTTTTGCGGACTTGGCTTTTACTTTCACTTCAAAGCCCAAGTAAAAAAGGAGGCTCAAACACTATATGAAAATTTCAATTTCTGTATAAGCTATAGTACATGCAACAGATGTTGTAAAACTACAGTTTTCTACTTAAATCTGATAATTTAAAATTGACCTTCTCACTTAGAATTGTTGTGATTTTTGTCTTTGATGTTGGTCTGTTTTTTTCTTGGAGGGCTGCCTGAATGATTTAATGATACTTTCCGGTCAGTACTGATTTTCCTTGGTGCAGTTAGTGCCTGTGTTTGTTGCAGTCAGATGCTTATGAAAAACACTTCCCTGAGTGTGGAGCTCATAATAGGCAAAATATGACATATACTTTAATACTTTTAGTTTCATACAGATGGATTTTCTTCTTTATATAGATTCATTTCCAGGTAATGGATTCCTGGGTAGTCCTTAGCTTCAGTATGAAAAAGATGTCATTTTTTGTGACTATTTTTAACTGATTATCTGTAATGATATGTTTTAGAACAGCTTTATTATAGACTTGCATTACATTTATTTTGGATATCTGTGTCTAGGTGATCACTTAAAAACCTTGGGTTTATATAAACTGGTTTTTAGTCTTCCAAATATTTGAGTTTAATTTTGACTACTTTTTTTTTTGTATGGAACTTTACAGGCCTGCCTTGCTTTTGATATCTGGATTTGGATCTTTGGCTATAATTGTGGCACTAACCCTCTACAGACACCAGCACCCTCTTAATTTATACCTGCTGTTTGGATTTGTAAGTATTTATAAATTCAATTTTAATAGTCCCTAGAATATTTTGCATTGTGATGAACTCCATGAAACTAGTGGTAGGTAATTAGTTTTTCTTGTATTCCTTGAAAGATATCCTATGTGCTTATGAAGATCTGATTTTGTCCACAGGTTGTTCCTGGATAGGCTCTAGGTCAGGTTTCTAGATGTGTGTAGAAATCTGTGTATCTGCTCTTGTTGTTCTGTTGATGTTAGGCATTTGTCTATGAAAATGCTCAGTAGGAAAGGAGGAGGCATTCCTGTTACCTTATTTGCTTAATGGATGGCCTCCAGCAGAGGCCCAAAGCAGCTCTATGTTTTTATTTCTTCAATTGTTGTCTTTTTGATGCTAAATTCTGAGCATGTTTCCAGCACAGGCAGGTGAGTCAGAGCTGTCCTTAAATTTCAGTCTCCTGCCTGATTTTGTGAGCTTTTAGATATGGGCTAATGATTTCTCTTGGATATTTTGGATAATGTAGAAATCAATCTTCTGAAGAGTCACAGTAGCTCAATTAGAATTTGATGCTTTAGAAGTTGCCTAAATTGTATTTGTGTAAAACGGAAAGACAGCTTTGCTGTATAAGTAATAGATTGCTGAAATGGTGACACAGTTATATGCTTCCTGACTTTTGAACTCTTGCAGGTGAATAAAACATTTAAAAACTTTTAACAAGTGAAGCTGTAACAAGGAGTGATGTAACAGTTTGGCCAAATGTGGTGTGGGAGTTTGTAAAATAACAGTTTAAGTATTACATTATATAGGAATGGAAGAATTCAAATGTCTGTGTGATAAATTGGTTTAAACAAAATATGGGTTAAATATTCTGTTATTTCTGAGCCCTTGGTTCATGACATAGGGAGTTTTCTCATGTTCTATTATGTTGAAACTCAATTTGAAATTATCATTTAGAAAAACTCAGGGTCCATACTAGCCTTCATCCCAGACATTCAAAATGTGTTTTAAAATTAGCTGTTTCAAAACAAGGATTAGTGGGAAAAGGAAGCTGATGCAGAGACTTTATGTTACTGTTAGACACCTGTCTAACAAGTTATTAAGAGTGTATTAATTGTATAGCTTCTTGAATAGTTTGTAAGAAATGTAATAAGAATGCTGTGTGCTTTGAGTAGAAAATGTAAATGGCATTTTTCTATAGGGGCAGTCTCTCACTCATTTTCAGTTTGTATGTAAACAAGTAACACAAGTTACTTTTTATGAATCACACAGTAAGACAGCGTGATTGCCATTTTCTTGTTGAAAACTAGATATATTTTCATATACAAAGACTTAACAGGAGACCTAATGTAATGTGCTGGGATTATGTAGCAGAATGGGACTTACTGCATGTGAAGTCTCCAAGTAAGTGTTTTGTGGTCTGGTTTTTTTAATCCATGTAATTTTTTGATTTTACTTTTTGTAGACGCTGCTGGAAGCACTGACAGTTGCCACTACAGGTAAATGGTAGCCATCCTATTGTCTGATTCCATAAAGAATTTGGAAAAGGAATACAGTCTGTTGTATGAATTGCCATTAGAGTTTTTTAGATGTGACTAAAATGATCATGAATCCTGTTTGAAAATTTTAATGACAGTGATATGAGTTTAGCAAAAAAACAGGGAATCAAGGGAGAAAACTGGATTCTGATCAAGAACTGAAACTGTACAAGCCTGAAGTGAGAAATGAATTGTGCCATGAATTCTTTCAGTATAGCTATCAATGTTCTTTCCTATATGGCAGCTGTTAGCAGAGCTGATCTTAAAGTTGAAATATCCCTATCTTTCCCCTCAGTTTCCTCTAAGGGAATTTGAGTTTGGAGAGTTCTGTACTTCATGGTTAGGGTTGTGAAATGGGGTGGTGTGTGGACAAATCGTGGCATCACTTTGCATTATAGTTTCCAGCATAGGCTGAAACCTCTTCATCGTGGCTTATGACCTGCAAAAAAAAAGTCATTTGGGGAAAAGAAAGATTAAGGAGGAAGGAGGGAAGAAAAAGGTTCCACTCATTTCTGTAACCTTTCCCCTCCTATCCCCTAACCAAAACTTTGAGCCTTTGGAGAGAATTTTGTTTTTTCCCCTTGCTTCAATATCATGAAAAATTCAGTTAGCTTTTCCCTTAAGATCTCACCTATGCTTAAAATATTTTTGTTTTGTTTTGGCAGTGTTTTTTTAGTTGTAAGTAGGGAAGACCTGTTATTTCCATATAAGAAGCTACAGCTATCAAGTAACTGTCAAACTCAGTGCAAGGCCCCTGAATCCTATGATCATGAATTCGTAGTGCAAAGACAAGTTCAGCTATAGTTTACTTTTTTTTGTTCACAGTTAAGATTTTTTTTCCTGTCTGTGAAAGTTTAAACTTCTGTTTCCTCAAAAGATAATGTAGCAAATACATGATGTAGTGTTCTTTAATTGACAGATTACTTTTTCTGTTTATAGTTAGTTTCTACGATGTCTCCATCATCTTGCAAGCCTTTATTCTTACTACTGCTGTATTTCTTGGGTTGACTGCTTATACTTTGCAGTCAAAGAGAGACTTCAGCAAGTTTGGAGCAGGGTATGTTGTCATATTGATGATTTTTAGAAAATTCTTTTCTGTTAAGGTTGTTTTTTCTTTCTTAAAGCAAGCTTTGCAGCTATAATAAGGAATACAGGTCAAAAGAACCTGCTTCAAGGGAATGGTGAGGGTTTTATTTATCTTAAATTATTAATTTTACACAGTTTTGCTTTTCTGGTAAATTTTTTTCTGTGATTATGATTCTTAAAACCACTAGAAAACTAGTTTACCTGAAGTTTTCACTGAGACAGAAGGCAGCCGTTTCAAATATTTTTTAAAAAATTAAAGTTAGAAAGTAACTTTTGACAACTTATAAAACTTACTGCTGACACCAATGAACAGTTAGCATCTAAGAAGAGGTTTTGTAAGAAGGGAGGATATTTTAAGTTTAAAAGAAAGTATATTGTTGCTCACAATTTATAATTTTTTTTTCAGACTCTTTGCTTGTTTGTGGATTTTAATCCTCTCAGGTTTCTTGAGGGTAAGATACCTTGTGTTCATGGTTACAAGATATTCATAGAATCACAGAATGATTTGGGTTGGAAGGGACCTTAAAGATCATCTTGTTCCAACCCCACTTGCCATGGGCAGGGACACCTTCCACTAGACCAGGTTGCTCAGAGCCTGAGCTTTTACTAACTTCTGGTAGAACAAAAAGGTTTTGGACAGCTCAGTGTAACTTAAGGAAAATTCCTAACCAGATTCATGGCTATTCTAGATCGCACTGGTGATCTTTTAACCAGTCATTTCCAATTTGGATTTTTGTTGGGTGCTGTTCTTGCCAATATTAAAGGAGTATTTGTGTTGATTGACAAAATTTGTCAGTCAAGATCCACTACTTGATTGAGAGAATGGGAAAGAGATCATTTGGTTTTTAGCTGTATTTTGTTTTTCTAATTGTTGTTAATACCCTGCAGACCAGAGTTTCCACCCTCTTAGATGTGGAGGCACTTTTACTCAGTTAAAGAGACAGTGACTGGGGAATACATGGAATAAGGACACTGAAATGCCATCATAATACCGTGTTTGCGTGTACATAACAGTAGGAAGACCATGTTATAAGTGTGGCATATCATTATGCATAGTTTTAATATTAAAAAGAAAATGAAATTTACAATTTTTTTTCATATTTTGTCTGCCTCCAGCTGTTTTTCTATAGTGAGACAATAGAGTTGGTGTTTGCTGCTGCTGGAGCTCTTCTGTTCTGTGGATTTATTATTTATGACACTCACTTGCTGATGCACAAATTGTCCCCTGAAGAGTACATACTGGCTGCAATCAACCTCTACTTGGACATCATCAATCTGTTCTTACACCTGCTGCGTTTACTGGAAACATTTAATAAAAAATAGCCAAAAGTGGTGTGGTTTAACTATAGTGCAATTTGGATGATCTGCACACTCAGTAGTTCTGTCTTCTAGAGACTGAATCTATATTATTTTTTCATTCCATGAATACTAATCCCTCCTTGGGGGGGAAAAAAAAGTCTTTTTATGTAGCTACAGTTCTTTTCTAGATCATGTATTTTATGCAGTTAACATGCTGTCATCATTACAGTCACTTTTTTAATCTCTTAATTTGCACTTGACATAATTAATGATGAAAAAGTTTGCCAACTTCTTATTGCTCCAGAGTAAGCTACAGCTGTTCTGTAGCTGCTGGAAATGTTTCCTTTGGGATTGATCATAAATGTGTGTATCACATAAGGGTAGGCTGAGCTTACCATTGTGCTAAGCTCAATATTACTAAGCTAAATATTTTTCTAGTTTTTGGTTTTGTTATTTGTTTTGTTTAGTTTTTGTTATCTGTCCCTGACAGATACTCTGTTCTTGTTAAGGGCTGTCACTATGGAGCTGTGAGGGTGTTAAGAATGTTCTTAATTTTAGTATTATTTATGGCCTATCTTTCAGTGTCCTGAAAAATCATTTGGAGATAGATTCTGGGATTTTATCAACTTCTGTATGTTAAGGTTAATTGTGTCAATAAAAATTGGAAAACCTTTTGTCTGTTCTTGCTGCCAAGACTGGAGAACTTCAGGGTGCCAAGAATGAACTTTGCAGACCCTTGCTGGCCGGGGAGAGGTGCCGTGACTCACTACTTCCCAAACTGTGGAGATCCTGGAAGGGCAGGCAGGGTAAAAACAATTCTGAAAGGCTTTCTTACTTCCTATGCAGTGTTGTTACTGCTCTCCTGGCCTGTCAGTGAGAGTCAGTGACAAGGCAACGCAGTAATTGGGAAATCATCCGTGTCCTGCCACAAGCTGTGACAAGGTGTGTTTTCCGTGATGGAACGGGACTGATGCTATTGAAGTGCAACTGCGGATTGGTTTGAGCAACTGTGATGCTTTCTCTCTTCTGCCCGATTTAGAAATGTGTGGCCGTAGCGAAGAATAAAAGCTCGCTTTTTTTCCCCGTGATGAAGCACGTGTTTATTTGTTCATCCGTCCCCACGCCCTCGGCACGCCCCGGTGGTTGGATAAGATCCGGCAGCGCAGCCGGCGCGGGGCGCGATGGGGGTACTGCGCGCTCGCTCGGAGAGTTACGGTAGGGCCCGCCTGCCCCGGCCGGCCGGATGTCGGGGCCGCGCCCAGGGGCGGGACTGACGCGACATCCTGCGCATGCGCGCGGGCGGCGCGGCCTGGCGCCGGTGTTGGCGGCGGCCTCGTGCGCGGGCAGGTGAGTGGGGGAGGGGCGGTGACGGCGTGTGCGTGCAGCCCCGCGCGCTCACCGCGCCCGCTCCCCTCCGCGCAGGACATGGCCAAGAGCCTCAGGAGCAAATGGAGGAGGAAGATGCGGGCGGAGAAGAGGAAGAAGAACGCGCCCAGGGAGCTGGAGAGGCTGAAGAAGATCTTGGGAACCAACGCGGATGTTGTCATGGAGGAGGTCAAGGAGGTGGCGACGGTGCTGCCCCCCAAGAAAGTGCTGGAACAGAGGGGTGAGTTGGGCTCTGGGTGGTTTTTCCTGAAGTCCCCCAGGTGCAGGAACGTCCTGCAGTGTTGTGACTGTTCCTGTGACTTACGCTGTGGGGATCAGACGTATGAGTATTACAGGCTGAGAATAGTGAGTTGGAAAACTTTTGTCTTTTAAAGCTAAAAGATGCTGTTAAAGCACTGAATCTGGTCATTTCGCAACGTTGGCATCCATATTGCGTGCGGTCACTTGTGGAACAAAGTTATTAACATCTGATTTTTAGTATGTAAAATATGTAATGTATTTTATGGAGATGTACTGTGTAGTACCTTATAGAGAGACATCTCTGAAAACATCAGGTGAGTGAAGATTCATCGCTTAGCAGTTGTTCCAATCACAGCATTATATTTGCTGCTAAACAAGAGGTAGGATGTAATTTGCGCCCTAATTTAAGAAGGACACTAAACATATAAACTAAATCTAGTAATTTCATAGAAATTTTTATCAAGAATATAGTGGTGTTTTGCTATTTAAATGTACTGTCTCAAAGTAGGGGAAGTACGGAGCTAGTTTCGGTTTACTAATTAATGATGTATTGCACGTGGCGCAGGAATAGGTGGTATTAGGCGTCTACAGATAACGCCATCTTCCTCTTTCTGCCTTAAATAGAAAGTAATCAGTAAAGAAAGTGGGCAGTTACCCAGCAAGTGGAAACAAGGGTTTTAAATAGCTGCATACTGGACAGGAGTCAGAAAGACGCTTTCTCTTCCAAAAACTGAAGTCCAAACTAAATCGTAGTCGTTTTTACTTCTCTATTTTATGGCACTTAAGATGTTATGATGTTGAAAATGGAAAGAGAATGCTATATAAAATCACCTTCCTAGTTAAGGATAGCTTAAATTATAATATGAATTTTTATCTATGGTTCTGGTTTGTTCTATAATCCAGGTAAAAGTTGTTTTTTAAATGTTGTCAGTCTTCTGATGCTGAATCTGGAGGAAAAATCATTGCTTTAAACCTTCTTTCTGAAGCAAATGGCTGGCTGTCTGTCATTCCTACACCTCCTTCCAGCTCTGCTGGCAACTTCTCTACAAGTGGCCATTGTCACTTGGCTTTTGCAGAGAGATAACAGCCTCAGAAATACCCAAGAATATATGTCTTTCACAAACAACTACAAGTTTTGTGAAAATAACGATGTCTTCTTTGAAAGGACTTTTCAGCAGTAAGTGTGGACATAAGGGAGTTTGCATCACCAAGTGTTACAAGTATATATTAGGGACATTTTACTGTGTTACTCTAAGGTATTTTTCACAGCACCCTGTGAATTCCTTTTTCAATTTTTTTTTTTTTCAGTCTTTGTTGTTAGGAAAAAAATAATGAAAGGTCTGGTTAGCCTTTGGTCAATAGTGGTTTTGTAGCCGTTTTTAAAACTTTGTGGGGATGTACATATTTTTCAAGATAGTCGTATCTATTGAGTCGCTTCAATAACCAACCTTTATAGTTTTTTTTTCTTGGTCCTTCTCTCTGTCTTTAACCCCTTTGATAGATTTTCTTTATGTCCCTGGACAGCTTCTGCTCAGTGGGTTTCTTCCTGTTACTGATTCCTGCAGAATCCTTGAGGTTGCAAAATACAATGAAAACATTATGCTGTGTGAACAACTGGTATTTTTTGTCCAAGAGTATTCATTTAGTTTATGTTGCAGCAGACATTTATTGTGAACGTGCTTTTAATCTGTGTAACAGATTAACCTGTCGTGATAGGACAGGAATTTGAGAAGAAACTTATGTATGTGCTGCTGGGTTTTTGTTGTGTTATTGGAGGCTGTATCTCCTCTGTCGTTTGTTAAGAAGGCCTCGTGTTTCTCTGATACCCTGTGAGGTTTCTGGAGCTGGAACGTTTTTGCTGCCTGTCCCATGCTGGATCAGCCTTTGGTTCTGCAACTAGGCAGTAGGGCCCTGAGGTGATTCTCTGCTGACTACAAGTATTTGTTTCCCAACTTAGGGCTCCCTAAGCATCTGTGGTGCATTCCTGTAGACTGTCAGCAATGCTTCAACCATAGAAGCAGCACATTAGCATTTTCCTCATGAGCTTTATCTCCTAACAACATACAGGCACAACGTGATAAAGCTTTGAGTTGCATTCGGATAGCTTGGAAACAAGGTTGAAATGAAATTACAGAGCACAGTTCCAATCAGTACTTAGCAAGGTGTTCCTCTTGCAGCCTTGTTTCACCAAGGCACAATGTTCATGGGGTGTTAGCTAGCTAGGGATGCTGTTTTTGAGAGTGAGCAGGTCATGGGCAGTCTTCCTGATCCTAGAGATTAAGCCTCTCTTTCTGCCTGTAAATATGTTAGACTTGATGTCATACTTGCTCCTTGAGGCAAGTGTGGCATCCCTGGCTCATTGTTTGTACTGTCGTATTTCAGCTTTTTTCTTTATTATTCTCTTTACCTGTCTTTATCTTCCACTCAGATTAATTTGATTTTTTAGAACAGATCTTAAACATTACATCATAAAAAGTGTGTGATTGTGCACGTTTCAGTAAGCCCATGGCTTCCTGTATGGTTGTGTGTCTCTGTGGTGGAGACCACACACAATATTTTTAGACACAGTATTGGAACAGATGGGAGACTAAAGAATAAGATGCTTTGCCCAGACAAGGGCCTTTAGGGAAAATTCTGCACGTTTACTATCAACTGTTGAAGTTCCTGGGCTGTGGTTGCGTTGGTTGGGAAAGCGCTTTCTGTATATAAACCCTTCAGCTTTCTATGTATAAATACTGTTGTGTCTAGGGGATATTTTGGGGAATCTAATAACAAAAGAACATCTATGAAGCTGATTCAGGTATTTTACTCACTATAAATACCTTTCATTTTCAGATGACGGCAAAATGGACCTGGATAATAAACGGAATAAAAAAACTCTTCTAGATCAGCACGGACAGTACCCGATATGGATGAATTCCAGGCAAAGAAAGAAGCTTAAGGCACAGCGTGTTAAAGGGAAAAAAAAATCAAAATTGGCCAAAGGCCTTGTCTGGTAGAATCAGTTTTGTAAGATCGTGAATATTTTACTCAACAAAATAAATTTCCCACATATTTTGTGCTTGGTCACTGAGTATAATTTATTGTGTTGAATGGAATTTGAAAAGACTATTAGGCCAGCAGATGATGAAAAAAGTATCAACGTGGTGTCTCCTTAACTTAAAAAGCAAACTGAGTGCCTTTGAGTAGACTAATTGTCTCTGGTTATCTGTTTTCTTGAGGAGGGGAGGGTCTTCATCTTTTATATTGTGAACACAGAAAACACTAAAGGAAACCCTAAAAATAATTAAACCATATGTTTTGTGTACTGTGGTCTTTGTCAGTGTAACTTCTCATTTAGTAAATATAACCAAAGGATTCTGTAAACTTGCTGTATCCTTTAAATCCTTCTGTAAAATTACTTCTGTTGCACTGATTCATTTTGCTTTTAACATCTGGTAATTAGCGAAAATGGACTTTGCACATGTAACCTCAAAAATTTTATGTGCTGAAATCAACACCAAGCCTTCATGAAACTTCTGCAAGTAAAAAGAGTGTCAATCTGACTTTAATTCACAAAGAGAACAAAAAAATATTTTGCTGCCGTCTGCAACAGAAATATTATAGGACCTAAATAATTGAAAGTAAGACTGATTCTTTTATTATTAAAATTAGAGAACACACATGCACAGAATGGAAATAAAACAGTTTTGTTTAACACCTTTTCCAAGTTTTAGTAAAGTAAACAAGAATTTTCATTTTCATATGTACTTTCAGTAGCCTTTTATGCCTGTTAAAATGGTACTCATCTATCATGCTTTATGATGTGTGCATAGGTTAAAATCCTGCATGATTGCATATCAAATGCCATTTATGTGATTAGCTACAGGTAGGTGTATATTACTTGGCAGTAACATGCGATGACAGATGGAAGAGTTTGTTGCCCTGAAAGCTTGTGTTTTTAAAATATCTGTCATTTCAAGGATGGAAATAGTTACAGTACTGGTCCTGCAGTATGTTGCCTTTTCAAGTACCAGTCATCAATACAGGGCATAACCTTTGTCCAGCT